TTTAGGGGTTTAGGGAGTTAGGGTGTAGAGTTTAGGGGTCTAGGGGATTTAGGGAGTTTAGGGTTTAGGGGTTTGGTGGGTTTAGGGGTTTTGGGTTTCGGGGTTTAGGGTTTAGGGGTTTAGGGGATAAGGGATTTAGGGTTTAGGGTACAAGGGTTGCTCTAAGGGACCTATGAATTAGAGTTCCGTAGTTCACTTTTTGGGGCGGGGGCTTGGGGCTGTTAGGGCTTAGGGCTCTTAGGGGTTAGGGCTTAGGGGACCTATGCAAAGGGGCTGGATCGAATATTGGGGCCTTATGATGAGACTAGGGTTTTGGGGCCCATTATACCTTAATCATAACAAGGAACCCCCAAAATCGTATAGGCAATTATTTAGGCTCCTACATTATAAGGACTCCTTCAAGGGGATGTGCAAGGGCTCCTTTAACGGATCTTTTAGGATCTCCTTTACGGGATCAACAGTATACGGGTTGATTTGGGGTTTTTGTTTTTGAGTTTATTGTGTAGAGTTTAGGGTTTAGGTTTAAGTTCTATCCCTCTCTGTGGTGCATAAGCCCTTAACTAAAATGGGGCTTTAGGGTTTAGGGGTTCAGGGTTTCGGGGTTCTTGGTTTAGGGGTTCAGGGTTAAGGGGTTTAGGGTTTAGGGTTTAGGATCCCTAAACCCCAAGCCCGAAAGTTTAGGGCTAACCCTAAACCCAAATCTAAACCCCTAAACCTTTAACCCCTAAACCCAACTCTAAGCTCTAAACCCTAAACCCTAAACCCTAAACCCTAAACCCTAAACCCTAAACCATATTGCGTGCCCAAGGCGCTGTGACTTCACACGGAAAGGGCCCACGAAGATGTCGTCGAAGCCGAGAACCCTGGGCTCTTCTTCAGGAACTTAGACACTACTACAGTAGCCTTCAGGGTTGAGGGTTTAGGGGTTTAAGGGTTAGGGTTTAGGGTTTAGGGTTTAGGGTTTAGGGTTTAGAAGTTTGGGGTTTACGGGTTAGGGTTTAGGGTTTAGGGTTTAAGGCTAGCTGCAAACCCACCTAAACTCAGGTCCTTAAAGACTTAACGATGGCCCAGACTCCCAGACAGCCGGCCACTGCCATACTCGGTCTCAAAGCGCTCCGGGTGGGGCGCCTATGAAAGCACCGGGGAAGGTTTAGGGTCCAGGGTTTAGGGTTTAGGGCCTTTGAGGGTGTAGGTTGGTTTAGGGTTTAGGGTTTAGGGTCTTTGAGGGTGTAGGTTGGTTGGTTTAGGGTTTAGTATTCAGGGTTTAGGGCTTAGAAAAGGCTACAGAAGGCTACACAGAATAGCAATGGTGAGCTACTGTAATAGGAACACTGAGAGTGGTCGGAAGAAAGACCACTACAGGATTTCTGAACTATTTTTCTGATCGTCATAGTCACCATCATCTTCGTCTTCGCATCACAATCTCTCGAATCTTGACTCTGAGAATTGCAACGGCGGAGCAGGAAACCCTAGATTTCCTAAGACCTAACCCTAAACCCCTCATCCCTTAATCCCAAAGGACAAGACACAACCCTAAACCAACTGCCCACCTGGTGGAAGGTTCGGGAATGTGAGCGGTTGAAGCGGTGCCGTTTTGGAAAGGCACACGGCCCCAAAGTGCAGAGGTCAGATGCCACCCACAAATCCTAGGTTCTCGATACCACAAGGGATTCATGTAACCTCGGGCTTAAGAAATTCTTTAGGATATGCATAGGCATATACATGTATATACATGTATATATACACACAGATATGGACAAAGATATAGACATGTAGGTGAAAACCAGGCAATGCACAGGGTACTTAAACGAAATAACACCGAGCCCAGACTCCGAGCTTCCTGTGTCAAAGACGACCCGGAGTTCTGCTGCCGGCGATGCACAGACCTCACCCATGAAGCTCTCGTTCTTGGTGCAGTTCCGAGATGTGCCAACTCCCAAGACGCCCACATACTCGGCGCTCGAAAGGTCCTAAAGGCTCGGAAGAAGCGGAATATCTAAGTTTGAAACCATGGGCCCCTAGTATGGGCCCTTAAGGGTGGGCTCCTCATTTACCTACTATATACCCTATATGTACCCTTAAGGGTCCGTAGAAAAGCCTCAGGGTCCATATTAGGGGCCCATACTTCTACCCTTAGAGAGTACCCTAACTAAGGGTTGCTAAAAGGGCTACTACAACTGTCCTTAGAGTAACTGCTAACAGAAGATGCCAGTCGGGTTACCTTATTTAGGATCCCACCCTATACCCGTACTCTAAGCCCTTTAAAGCCCTACACCCTAAACTCACATTATCGATCCTTTCCCCTAAACCCTCTACCCTAAACCACATACCGAAATCCTATAATATACCCTAAGCCACACACCAAGATCCTATAATATACCCTAAACCACACAACAAATCCTATATAATGGCCCCCTCTTTTCTGAAACCCTAAACCCTAAACCCTAAACCCTAAACCCTCCTCGAGACGGAGGATGCCGTGGACTTCTCCGACATCGGACCTTGGGGCCCCTCTTGGGAATCAAGGAACAAGCAGGGACTTTGTTCCTCATGGTTTAGGGTCTAGGGGTATAGGGTATAGGTTTTAGGGTTTATGGGTTTAGGGTTTAGAATTTTAGGGGTTTAGGGTTTAGGGGTTTAGCGTTTAGGGTTTCGGGTTCAGCGTCTTGGGAAAGGAAAAACAAGGTCACGCCACCGCTGGTGGCCCCGTGGATTTTGCACGCCCAATCGTGCATGTATCCCACGGATACCAGCATTCTTAGTGATAAATGCGTTTTACGGATGTGTCTTTTTTCTTGATTTGAAAGCACGAGCACACCCTTGTAGTAACAAAAGTGACACGCCTGCCAGTGTTTTCGAATGGTTTGGACGATGTTTTTGCAGTTCGTGCGTATTTTGCAAAGTTATCCTTGAGGCTCATGCAGGATCTAGTAGTAGTAGTCGTCGTCGTCGTCGTCGTCGTCGTCGTCGTCGTGGTCGTCGTCGTCGTCGTTGTCGTAGTAGTAGTAGTAGTAGTAGTAGTAGTAGTAGTAGTAGTGGTAGTAGTAGAGTAGTAGTAGTAGTAGTAGTAGTAGTAGTAGTAGTAGTAGTAGTAGTACTAGTACTAGTACTAGTACCAGTACTAGTACCAGTACTAGTACTAATACTCGTACTAGTTGTAGTAGTTGGCTAGCTTCCCGGCTAAACTGTGTCCGAGAAGGCTACGCGCCCCAGGGATTTGGCATGTGTGAGGGTTTAGGGATTAAGGCTCGAGGGTTTAAGGTTGAGGGTTTACTTAGAGGTTCATGCGACTTAGTAATTGGAGCTAAAAGTAAGGTAACTAGACTTAGAATTGTTTATAACCCCAATAAACAAAGCCACTTATAACATTACTTACTTACTAAGTCCCATGAACCTCCAAGTAGGGTTTTAGAGGTTAAGCTGACAATTGGCGATGCTGAAAGCGAAGCAGCTGCATGCACTGCCATGCAAGTGGGAATACGCGCATGCACTCAATATCCTTGATTGCCAAGCACAGAACTTGCTTGCCCGGGTCTTTCAAGCCGACAATGCATATCATCATCCCCCCCCCCCTCACCCCGCACCCCCGATTTGGAAGCAGGCAGCACTGAACAGCCTGAAAAGCCCGAGAACATGTGGTGAGAACCCTGAAAAGCCTAAAACAATGCATTTGGCATGGGGCCGCGAGAGGTTGCGTGAGCAAAAACAAGGGGGGATTCACCTTAGGGGCTCGTTTACCTTCAACATAACCGTTTTTGGACCAGTGACTAGTAAATAAATGTGAATTGCAGCGCCAGCCGTAATATTAGGCCCTAAACCCTAAACCCCTAACCCTAAACCCCTAAACCCTTATAAACCCTAAACCCCCCCAGAATTTAGGCATTGTATCAGTATCACTAGCAACCCCCAAAAACAAAAAAGAAGCACCGAAGACCGAGGAAGGGACACTGCGCCGTAGGACCCGAAGAGGGACTTCCGCAGGCCATGCCTCCTCTTGCCTAGGTAGTATTACTAGGGGTACCCCTTAAAGGGTACCCCTTCTGAACCCTACTTTTGGCTCTCTTAAAAGGGACCTTATTGAGAGGGTCTATATCCCCAAGGGTCACCCTAATCCTAGCTCCCATTGCCTGGGCTCTTGTTAAAGGCCGGTTTAGGGTTTAGGGGTTTAGGGCTTAGGGGTTTAGGGCCTTAAGGGTTTAGGGTTTAGGGTTTAGGGCTTAGGGGCTTAGGGATTTAGGGTTTAGGGTAGGCTTAGGGTTTAGGGTTTCGGGTTAAGCTATTTTTACTGTAGATCCCCATTATGGCAACTAGGAAACCCTATTTTCTACGGTAGATCCCTATCAGGCCAAGTTTGGTTAAGTTCCTTAACAAGAGCCCAGTTTCGGCCTGCGGATGTGTGGCGCATCAGGTCCTCAAGCTGACGCGCAAAAGTCCCAAAGCCTGAACCCTACAGCTTACATCCTAAACCATAACCCTATTCCCCAACCCTAAACCCGAAACCATAGCGCTAAACCTTGAACCCTAAACGCTAAACCCTCTAAACCCTATAAACACTAAACCCTCTAAACCCTAAACCCTAAGGGTGAACCCTAAACCCTCTAAACCCCAAAATCCTAAAACCCCAAAACCCTACACCGCTAAAACCCTAAAGCCTCAACCCCCAACTAACCCTAAAGCCCTAAACCCCCCAAAAAGTCCTGAAACTGACGAGGGGAGACCTCCATGCCTGGGGCCGTTGATGGCTGCAGGAGCCTGGGTTGCTGTTCAGGAACTTAAGGGTTTAGAGGGCTTAGGGTTTAGGGTTTAGGGTTTAGGATTTAGGGTTTAGGGTTTAGGGTTTAGGGTTTAGGGTTTAGGGTTTAGGGTTTAAGGTTTAGGGTTCAGAGGGTTTAGGGCTCAGAGGGTTTAGGGTTGAAGGGGTTTAGGGTTTAGGAACTTAGTCTAAGTTACCATAATGGAGATCTACAAGGGTTCCTGCAAGGCATCTATAGGGTTTTGTCATTGGGTTTCGGGCTATAGGGTTTCAGGCTTAAGCTACCGTCATGGATGTGTATATATATATATAGTACAAACCAAGGTTTCCTTACTAATGTAATTTTACATCATGGCGATGTATACTAAATAATAGGGTTTCCTTGTTATCATAACTTGATTTACGTTCTTTAACAGCAACCCAGGAGCTGCTGGTAGCGGCTCCCACGCGGGAGCAAGGGCGTTACCACTGGAACGGGCTTGCTTTGGCGATGGAGCAGGGCTGCCCAGGCATCCTGCAAGAAGAGACACCCCAAACCCTTGACCCTAACCCTCAACCCTAAACCCTAAACCCTAAACCCTCATAGCTCTAAACTTTGCCCCTAAACCCTTCACCCCAAACGCAGACATCCTGCGAGAAGAGAATCAAGAAGGCTGCGAAGCAGCCGTTCATGGCTCCTCAGGCCTTTGTAACACCGGCCTGAAAGCACTGTCAGAAGCTTTCCGCTTCGAAAGTTGCTCGAGCCAAGCCTCCCCCAATACAGCAGGCTTTAGGGGTTTAGGGTTTAGGGTTTAGGGGTAAAAATCTCCTAAGATTGAACCCATGGGCCCCTAGTATGGGCCCTTAACCCTGGGACCCTTACCCGATATGTACCCTTAAGGGACCCCAGAACCCCCCGTAAGGGTCCATACTAGGGGCCCATGCTTCTAACCTTAGAACATCTTCTCAGAGTTTGGGTTTAGGGTTTAGGGCTTTAGGGTTTTAGGGTTATTGTTTCTGGGTTCAGGGTTTGAGGGTTGTAAATGTTAGGGATGATTTGAGTTTATGGTTTTAGGGCTGAGGGTTTGCTGGCTCAGCATTCGGACCCCGTATTTGCCCGGTTGCTTCCAAGACGGGCTCCATGGCTCTGCAAGGGTTTAGGGTTTAGGGTTTAGGGTTTAGGGAGAATGTAGAGCAACAATCGTTACTATGATATCATGACAGCAGTGGTAGCAGTAACAAGAACAAACTGGTAGTATTGGTACAGCAGTAATCAGACTAGGAACATCCACAATCAGTCAATATCAGTATACATAGCAGCATTAATAGTCTTAATGATGAAAATAATAAGATCCAAAAACAAAGCAGTCATGACAGTAGTACTAGTTGTGGGCAGGTCTCTGAAGTAGGCTCCCTTCTCCGGCTCCTTTCTGCAAGGGTGCGCCACTATCTTGGGGACCTAAAAAGGTAATTCAGAGAACTACCCTTATACTGATGGCAAAAAAAGACAACAATAAAAGAAACGAAACGGTAATCCCTACACCCTAAACCCTAGTAAATGTTAAGAGTACTGCTTGTATTGATGGCACCTCTATCTCGCCGGCCAAACCGGCGAGGCAGTGGACGGAGCCTGGGAAGGAAGGGGGCCTAGGGGCACAGGGGTTTGGGGAGTTTAGTAGAGTTTAGGGTTTGGGGTTAGTTTAGGGGATGCGGGCGTAGGGCTGGGGGAGTTTAGGGTGTTGGGTTAGCTTAGGGTTTAGGGTTTACGGTTGGGGTTTGGGCGTTTAAGTCGGGTTTTGGGTGAGTTTAGGGTTAAAGGTTTGGGGCTTAGACAGTTGAGGGAGTTCTGGGCCCTAAACCTTAAATCCTAAACCCTAAACCCTAAAACCTAAACCCCTAAACCCTAAATCCTAAACCCTAAACCCTAAGTTTGCTTTGAGCCGTGAACGAAACAATGAACTCCTGAAGGGAAGCCCCGAGGTTCGGACGCGCCACCATGGCATTCACCGGGTCCTGCTGCTTTTAGGGTTTAGGTTTAGGGTGGCCTGGGTTTAAGGTTTTTTTTAGGGTTTAGGGTGGCTTGTGTTTAGGATTTAGGGTTTAGGGTGGCTTGGGTTTAGGGTTTAGGGTTTAGGGTGGCTAGGGTTTAGGGTTTAGGGTTGAGGGTGGCTCGGGTTTAGGGTTTAGGGTGGCTTGGGTTGGGTTTAGGGTTTAGGGTGGCTTTGGGGTTTAGGGTTTAGGGTCTAGGGTTTAGGGTGACTTTGGTTTAGGGTTTAGGGTTTAGGGTTTAGGGTGGCTTTGGGGTTTAGGGTTTAGGGTTTAGGGGTTTTGCGTAAAGAGCCATGGGAAATAGCAACTTGCTATTAGCCGCAATCAAGGTATGTAGAACGCCGACCTTTTGGAAGTAATTGCGATTGATGATAATAAAACCCTGCCTTACCGATAACAGGGAAGAGACCATAATTCCCGTAGTTTAGGGTCCTTGAGCTAATGCAGGACTTATATCATCCACAGTTACCTCTCATCCCAAAAAAGGAGGGACGTAGAGCTGAGGGGCTTCTAATCTCCGGTTGAGGGCTTCCTCCTGCCTCCTCGTTTAGGTGCATGGGCTCGTGCAAGGAATCCAGGAGCATCCCCGCCTCCCCTCCCATTACCACAAAGCGCCGGCACATGCTTCCTGAGGCTCGAAAACCCCAAGCCCCCACTACTGTAGAAGCCTTAATAGAATAGGGTTTTGAGGCCCGTTATACTATGATATGTATAACAAGGAACCCCCAAAACACCAAGGGCAACCACCAAGGCCCCTGCATTACCCTACCGCGGTCTCAACTTTAAGACCGCCAAAACTTCAAAAACCCTGAACACGCAACTCCCAAACACCGAAATCCTCAACCCTAAACTCCTGGGAAATATCCTACCTGGGTAGTTCTCTGAATTCGGGTCCCTTTTCTTACGTCCCCAATAGAGTACGGCACCCTTTTAAACAGGACGTTAAAGGGTTTTACGTCCCCAATATAGTACGGCACCCTTTTAAGCAGGACTTTAAAAGGGAATTGAATTTGGAGAACTACCCACTGACAGCACCTAAATCCCAAACGCCGAAATCCTTAACCTTAAAATCCAACAAAATCCTACTTACAGCCCTGAGAGCCTGAAGTCCTTAATCCGAAAGCATGGGTCCAGCTCCACGGAGATCACAGCCGGCACGGCCGCTGCCTCTGACCTCGGCGAAGGCCGCGTTGGAAGCTCCGCGCTCTCTGCCAGACATGATGATATAATGATGATGGCAATAACCGGTGGCGATCATCATGGTCATGATGACGATGACAATGATGATGGTGTCGACGATGACCATGGTGATTGATACGTGTGATGGCGCGTGCTGGTGGTGATGATGGTGAGGGTGGAAACGCACCACCGCCCCCACAATCACTGTGGCAAAGGCCGGACGACACACGAAAACATACATGTTCCAAGACAAAGACGGTGAGGGACAATGTATCTATTCAACCCTAAACCATTCGACCCACAGCCCGAAATCCCCTGGGCCCTGAACCCCTTGTTTCCCGAATGTCTTGGGGTGAATAGTTGGAATAGGGTTTCGGCTTTTTGGTTTCATTGTAGCGTAACTGTAAACAGGAACCCTATGGAGTAGTATATACTATTCCGGCCCCTATACTGAGCCTTTACTGAATTCCATTGAATAACTTGTTGAATAGCAGTTATAAATAGTAACCAATGTAGAGCCCTATAAGCCTAAGCCCGAAACCCCTACACAACCATATAGAACCTTTTTGGAGGAAACCTACCTATAGTCTCCATTGTAGTTCCTTTTTGTGGTTTAACCAATTATATACTAAGGATTTTATAAGGTATCCCCCGAAAAGAACTACAATGGAGACTATAGGTATAGTCGGACTCCTTTTCTCCTCGGCGCCCTGGGGCCGGTTGCCTCTCACGCCTGGGAAGACTGCTGCTGAGCCAGGCCACCGTGGAGCAAAGCCCAGGGAAGCTCGACCCTAAACCCTAAACCCTAAATTAAACCCTAAACCCTAATTTAAACCCTACCCTAAATTAAACCCTAAACCCAAATTTAAACCCTACCCTAAATTAAACCCTAAACCCTAATTTAAACCCTACCCTAAATTAAACCCTACCCTAAACCCTAAACCCTAAAGGGTTGAGTTGGGCCATGCTCCACGCTCACATGTGGTGCTCAGTGACCCGAGTATTTGAACTTCGCATCCTGGGAGGTTGGCCCAAGAAAGATGGAGGGGGGGTAAGGGTTTAGGGTTCGGGTTTAGGGTTTAGGGTTTAGGGTTTAGGGTTTAGGGTTTAGGGTTTAGGGTTTAGGGTTCTAAGGGTTTAGGGTTCAGGGTTTAGGGGTAAGACCTAAACCCTATAAACCCTATAATGTAGGGGGCTTAGGGTTTAGGGTTTAGGGTTTGGGGTTTAGGATGTGAAAACCCTACACCCGAAGAGGCCTAAAACCCCAAAATCGAAACAGTAAACACCAAACCCGAAACACCAAGCCCAATAAACCTGAACCCTAAACCCTAAACCCTAAACTTACACCCTGACAGGCCCTAAACCCCAAATCGGAACAGTAAATCCAAAGACCCAAAAGCCCCGCAAGCGCGAAGCCCAACAAGCCCGATGAGCCATACTAGCTACTATTGTGACCTTAATAATTGGAATAGGATTTTGGGTGTATAGTATACTGTAATTTTACAGCAGAAGCTAGACAGCTGGAACATCACTAGCCTGAGGTAAAGTATAGGGAATCCTAGCACTAATCATCCTAAATCCATGTTCCAACTTTCTGGGAATCATTATAATAAGGAACCCCCCTCAACAAAAACAAAATAGTATAGGTAATTCTTTAGGCCGCTATATTACAAGCCCGATAAGCCCTACGAGCCCTCTCCCGGTCCTTGTATTTCTCTAAGATGGCATCTCTTCTCTCGACGAACTCCTGACAAAGGCTCCGAGGACAAGAACAGCACACAACCCTAATGTAGGGGCCTGGACAATGACAATAGAATTCAGAATAGGGCTACGAGGCATTTTCGAATAGAGCATAAATTTGAACGCGCCAGAGTAATGCAGGATTTGGCCCATCAGCCGAAATTCTTGTCCCTAGCTTCCTCCGTGGTGAGGTAGGCCGGGTTGAAGGGATTTTGGCCGGGCTTCCCCCCCTTCTGCTCCAGCAACTTCTTGCACTCCTGCAAGCGAATGCGGAAAGTTCAGGCACCTTCTCTTAAACCTCTGTTTTCCGTAGATTTCGGGTTAGGTCGTCTGGGTTTAAAGATGTGCACGTGCCCGACAACGTGTGAAACACATCCTAAAGCTTCAACCCTAGACCCTAAACCAAAAAATACTAAAGTCCCAAACGGCTACAACACCCCCAAAACCCCGAAATCCTTATAGAATCCTCTCCGCTACCTTATAGAACCCTTCCAGGAACCCCTCATTATTTGAAGCACCGGGCACCCGCAGCTGCGGCAGGCACTTGAAGGTGTCAAGCTCGTCGGCCAAGGGTTGGTTGGGAACCAGGTGCTGCCGCTGCTCCTGGCTTTGGGCATTCGGGTTTAGGGTTTAGGATTAGGGTATGGGGTTTCGATTTTTTGAGGCTTGGAAAGCTCAGAGTTTATTAGGGTTTAAGGTTTACGGGTGTAGGGTTTGAGGTTTGGGCCTCTGGGCTTTGAAGGTTTAGAATTGTCTTTACAGCTCCTGTTCCGATCCGCCACAAGTCTAGGCTACGAGTCTAGGGCCTTGGCTTGGGGGGTTTAGGGGGTCCAAACCCTTGTAGATACCCTACCCTAAACCCTAAACCCTAAACCCTAAAGGAGCCCTCAAAGAAAGCAGCTCCGAAACCACAAACTCGACGCCTTGCCAGATCTGCCCTAGACCCTACCCTGAACCCGAAACCCTAAACTCCCAACCCCTAAAACCCTAAACCCTAAACCCTAAATCCCTAAGCCTTCAACCCTAAACCCTAAACCCTCAACCCTAAACCCTAAACCCGAAACCCTAAGCCTTCAACCCTAAACCCTAAACCCGAACCTTCAACCCTAAACCCGAAACCTGTACCCTAAACCCGAAACCTGTACAGCTCTAGAGCCCAAGAAACCCTAACCCCGAAAACTGTACAGCCCTAAAGCCCAAGAAACCCTGAGCCCTAAACCCTAAACCCTAAACCCTAAACCCTAAACCCAAGAAACCCTGAACCCCCTCTGCTTCAGGAGGCGCGGGGAGCCTCGGCAGTTCCGTAGCCGTAGCCCACGATACTTCGTCCTTCCATGATCTCCCGCCTCTCCTGAATTGGGTTTAGGGTTTAGGGTTTAGGGTTTAGGGTTTAGGGTTTAGGGTTTAGGGTTTAGGGTTTAGGGTGGGGCTCAAGCATTGGGTTTAGGGTTTCGGGTCTAGGGCTTAGGGCCCTCTCCTGAATGAGGGCTTTAGGGTTTAGGGCCTTTAGGGTTGCTTAGGGCGTTTAGGGCTTGAATGAGCCTTGAGAGTTCCTTTCGGGGTTTAGGGCCCTGAGGTTCCTGTTAAGGGTTTAGGGTTTAGGGTTTAGGGTTTAGGGTTTAGGGTTTAAGGGTTCAGGGCTGTAGGGATCGGCTCCCGCCTCTCCTGAAGGAGGGCTTTGCTTAGAGGAGCACGGGGCCTAGTGACGAGGGTTGGGCTTAGGGTTTAGGAATTAGGGTTTAGGGTTAAGGTAGCTATACTTATAACTGCTTATAGCCCCAAGTAAGGTACTTTTAACCTAACTTCCTAAGTCCCATCCGAGTTCCCTTGAGAACTTGAGGGTTTAGGGGGCTCAGGGGTTCTTGTCAAGTTCCGAGGGTTTGGGGCTTTCGAGTTCCGCCTTTGAGGGCTTTAGGGTCCCTTTTAGAGTTCCTTGAAGGGGAGGGCTCCTTCAGTGGTTCTGCAAGGGATCTACAGGAAGAGTTGGGGGTTTACGGGTTTGGGGTCCAGGTGTTAGAGTTCAGGGTGCCTTATAAAGCCACTTTAGGGTTCCTAGCAGGGTTCCCCAAAGGTAGCTAAGACGGTTCCACAAGGGTTTAGGGTTAACTTGCCCTCCTTCTGCAGCAGAGGCGTGCTTGCAATCCTGCCGGCATCCCCTTCATTTTTCAAAACACTCTTAAGCCCTACAACCTAAACCCCTAAACGCCACGAGACACTCTTAAACCCTACAACCTAAACCCCTAAACCCCACACCGTGCAGCGTGGTTTCTCATACCTTGGGCGACTTCGGGTTAGGCGGAGGACCTCTTACTTCAGATTTAATCTTTTCCACATGGGTGGTTGTCAAAATTATGGTCCCTTTTGGGGTCCGTAATATAGTACGGCACCTAATTTTTAGGGTATCCAACAAGGGACCCTAATTTTGACAACCACCCACATGTAAAGATCATCTTGATGCGCCTTCTTAGGGCTCATAGACTGCAGAAATCCCCCATAGAGCGAGAAGTGAGGTGCCCCCCAAATTGCAGAACACCTCCAAAACCCTAAACCCTAAACCCTATACATCCCCAAAGCACCGTCCTCACACCACAAGGCACCCCGGAATTCTAGGACGCCCGCGACAGGGCTTACACAGCACAAAACCCTAAAACCATGCGTCGCTAAGAGCCCTAGGAATCCTCTACAAGACCTGTGGTAACGACCTCTATGGTTTTAGGGTTTAGGGTTTAGGGGTATAGGACGTTGCTCAAAGGATCATATGGGGCTTTGTAAATGGAGTTAGAAACTTATGTTTGGGCCTCTTTTTGCCCCGATTCAGGCACTTCTAAACGTCCTCAAAAAGTCCCCGAACTCTGAACCCCCGATAGCCCTATAGCCTTGCTAACTATGTCCGCTGATCCTCCAAGTAAGAGCAAAGCCGGAATCCCGACATCTGAATCCTAAGCCGATCTAGAAACTTTACCGATGCCTGAAAGGAACCCCTACAGATCCCCTGAAGGAAACCTTACAGATCCGTAAAAGAAGTCCGAAAACCCGATGCTGGCCCTTTAAACAAGGCCTATCTTAACCCAGCTGATGGCAGGATGCAATGTTGGGCGCTCTTTTTCTTAAGACCCTTCAAGTCCGCCTGATCCTCCAAGCACACGAAGGCCATGCATCCAAAAACCCTAAAGCACAAGCCTTTCTTCAGGACCCCTAAAGTCAGGGGCCCCTTCTAACCTAAGCGTCCAGAGCCAGAACAAACATGAGATGTGTAATAGGCCCTTGGAATCTTGTTATGAAAAAAAAAACCACACTTGCTAACGACACCAAAGTCAAGGATCCAAGGAAGAAGCCCTTCTAGAACCCCTATAGAGCCCTCACAGGCAGGATCCCTTACAGAAGCCCTAAACCCTAAAGCCCTGATAGGACCCTTCAACCCTAAGCCCCCGATGCTGGCCTCCTGTGCGCGAATCTCCTCAAGCCTCGCCGCCTCCTGATCCTTCAGAAGCTCGGAGACCTGGCTAGTTGAAGGGTCTTCGGGGGGTTTGGGGTTTAGCCCTAATTAAGGGTCCAAAGGACCCA